ACTATGGCTGAGGGGGCACGACACGGCTTCGAGCAGAAGGGGGTGGTGCGCGTGGGGCCACGGGACCCTCAGGGCCCGCCCGTCCCTCTCGAGGCGGCGCTGGAGGCGGCGCTGGAGGCCGGGGCCCAGGACGTCTGCCCGGACGAGGAGGAGGATGAAGAGGAGGAGCCGGCGCTGAAGGTGGGTGAGGAGGGCGGTGGGCCGGCGGACGCTGGGTTTGGCTGGTTTCGGAGCAGATGGGGTGGTCCTCTTGGTGCCCTGACTGCTCTTGGCCGTTTCTGACCATCCATGATCACCACTGGTTGCCCACCACTCTCGTCGGCCATTCCCCGACCACTCTTGGCCGTTTCTGACCATCCATGATCACCACTGGTTGCCCCCAACCACTCACCCACTCTCCGCCTCTCCCCAACCACTCTCGGCCATTCCCCGACCACTCTCGGCCATTCCCCAACCGCTCTCCGCCGTTCCCCGAGTACTGTTTGCCACTTCCAACCGTCCAAGACCATCCTGGACCACTGCTGACTGTCCCCAACCACTCTTGGTTATTTCCTGACTGCTCTTGGCCATTCCTTCCCCATTGAGGACCACCCCCTGACCACCACTGATTATCCTCAGCACTCTTGACTGTCCCCAGCCACTCTCGGCCATCCCTTGGTCGTCCCTGGCTGCCCCTGGCCACTCCTTGACCGTCCCCAACCGCCCTTGGCCATCCCTTGACCGTCCCCAACGGTTCCTGGCCATCCTTTGACCTTCCCCAACCGCCCTTGGCCATCCTTTGACCTTCCCCAACCGCCCTTGGCCATCCTTTGACCTTCCCCAACCGCCCTTGGCCATCCTTTGACCTTCCCCAACCGCCCTTGGCCATCCTTTGACCTTCCCCAACCGCCCTTGGCCATCCTTTGACCTTCCCCAACCACCCTTGGCCATCCCTTGACTGTCCCCAACCACCCTTGGCCATCCCTTGACCATCCCCAACGGTTCCTGGCCATCCTTTGACCATCCCCAACCGCCCTTGGCCATCCCTTGACCATCCCCAACTGCCCTTGGCCATCCCTTGACC